AAGTACAAGCAGGTTGGTACCTATAGCATTGACAGAGGCTGTGTAAAATCTGTTTGCCAGCCTTCCTTGGGGTAAGTTCCCTTTTGCTGTTTAGACCCCTGGGAGTTATTTTCTCTTGTCCTTACCTAGTTCTAGAGCTCTAGTTAAGTGATCAGTTCTGCTAACTGAGCAGAACTTCCTGGGGGCAGAGCATGCCGTAACTGCTGCATACCCTGAGAAGCAGGTCCCGTCTGACGAAGCTGCTTCTATCTATGAACCTGTCCCGTCCCGTGGGACGTCAACTGGGGCCGAGCACCTAGAAGGAGAAATGAAGGGACAGGAGACACAAAGATGGCAGCAAGACAAGGGTCCTGATCAAGCTGCAATTTTTATTTTTCAACCACACACTTATATATCATAAAGGCAGGGTGTTGGGCTGGGAAGGAGGGGCGTTTAGGAGGGCAGGACGTCGGGCGGGGGAAGGAGGGGGAGTTTATTTTGTAGCTGCAATGCTTGTGCAAGTAGGGGAAAGGTTACAAGGTCTTAAGGCACAAGGTCACACAAGGTTGCGTTATCAGTACTCTCCGGCCTGGGCTGTCTGGCCCTGCCTCAGTAGTTTTCCACTAAGAGGCCACATGCTGCGTGGTCCCCGACATCTCCCACTTTCTTATCAATTAAACAGAAATGGCTACCGGTTAGGCCAAGCGTGATGAGCAAGCCTGTCTTAGGAATCGACCCGGAGCTCCAGCACCTCTTACCCGTCATTGGATATCCTTGCCAGTCCCCAAGGACTCCTGTCTAGGTGGGTGAGGTTCCGGGAAGGTGCCCGTCATTGGCTTACTGCTCGTCTTATTGATAGGCCTGGGCCCCCCTTCCTGGGCTCCTGACTGGGGCAGTGGCAGACCGAAGGGGAGAGTCAGTTGTTGGAGGGACCGTGACTTCACCGGCCGGACCTCACTGGCCAGAGAGAGAGGTAAGTTCTCCATGGGATCTTCCATGGCCAGACTTTGGTAATGTATCTGAATTGGTCTGGCTGCTAAATTATCTACTTGCTGTCTGATAAAAGTCATCAGCTTATTGAAAAGACAAGGACCTACAGATAGTATAACAAGCAACCCAACAATGGGGCCTAAAAGCGGTAGCAAATAGGGAAGCAGTCCATTCCATCCCATCCAAAAGGGATTTTCAGCCATGGCACGTTGACGACGCTCCAGATCTTGAGGTGTCTTGATTTTATCATGAACAATGCCGGATTTGTTAGTATAAAAACAACATTTTTCCTGTAAAGCCAAGCAAATACCTCCCTGTTCAGTAGTAAGCAAGTCTAAGCCTCTACAATTTTGTAAAACCACTTCCGCTAGGGAATCAATTTGATCTTGAAGGTCCTGAATGGTGGTGGATAGGGTTTGTACATCATTAATAAGTTGTTGGGACAATTCTCTATATTTTTGGACCACAATCCCTAGCCCTGTGGATCCTGTAACCACAGCTGTGGAAATTCCCAGTGTGGCCACCCTGCAATTTCTCCGGTAACATTCCTACCTAACACATCCACTGGTCGAGCGAGCGAAAGAGAGAGGTCTTCCACCCACTGGTTCACTCCTCAACTGGCCACAATGGCCAGAGCTGGGCCGATTTGGAGCCAGAAGCTTCTTCAGGGTCTCCCACGCGGGTGCAGAGGCCCAAGGACTTGGGTCATCTCTTACTACTTTCCCAGGCCGTAGCAGAGAGCTGGATCAGAAGTGGAGGAGCCAATATTGGATGCCGGCACTGCAGGCGGCGGCTTTTCCTGCTACGCCGCACCGCTGGCCCCAGAGTTCTAAGTTTTCTTAAGTCCACCATTCTGGGTGATCGGCTTCTCATACAACAGACACCAGGAAGCGTCTGCCTAGAAACTGTTGTGCTTCACTGTAAGCTCTCCTCTCTCAGCCTTCACTGATAGAAAACACAAACCCAACCAAAAAAAGAAAAAGAAAAAAATTAAATAGAAAAGAAACAAAAAAATAAAATAAAAAAAACCCTACAGTGTCATTCATGAGTTAAGGTGCAGAGACTGTTATAAAAGCCATGAAGCCTGGCCGGCGCTGCAGCTCACTAGGCTAATCCTCCACCTGTGGCGCCAGCACACTGGGTTCTAGTCCCAGTTGTGTTATATCTTAATGTTAGCCATCGCAAAGCACACCGGACACCAGAGTAAGGGAAAGGGTTTATTGGGGAACACCCTACAGACCGGAGTGAAGGGGCGGCGAAGGGAAAAGAGAAGGAGACTGTAAGGGAGAGGAGGAGAGGAGCCAAGAGAGGCCAAGAGAGCACTTGTTCAGGAACAGACCCCCTATTTTTTTTTTTTTTTTTGACAGGCAGAGTGGACAGTGAGAGAGAGACAGAGAGAAAGGTCTTCCTTTGCCATTGGTTCACCCTCCAATGGCCACCGCGGCTGGTGCGCTGTGGCCGGCGCACGGCACTGATCCGATAGCAGGAGCCAGGTGCTTCTCCTGGTCTCCCATGGGGTGCAGGACCCAAACACTTAGGCCATCCTCCACTGCACTCCCTGGCCACAGCAGAGAGCTGGCCTGGAAGAGGGACAACCAGGATTCGGGACTAGAACCCGGGGTGCCGGCGCCCCAAGGCGGAGGATTAGCCTAGTGAGCCGCAGCGCTGGCAGGAACAGGCCCTTTTAAAACTTTGCCTGAGGGCGGGCCGGGAAGCAGGAGCATCGAATCCCATTAGGATGGGGGTGGAGCCTGGCTCAGGTAGCTGGGCCATGCGGCCATCTGGCTACAACTGCGCCAGTTTCCTAACAGGTTGGGGCACCGGATTCTGTCCTGGTTGCCCCTCTTCCAGTCCAGCTCTCTGCTGTGGCCCAGGAGTGCAGTGGAGGATGGCCCAACTGCTTGGGTCCTACACCCGCATGGGAGACCAGGAAAAGTACCTGGCTCCTGGCTTTACCTGCCATAGCAGCCACTTGGAGGGTGAACCAATGGAAAAAAAAGGAAGACCTTTTTCTCTCTGTCTCTCTCTCTCACTAACTCTGCCTGTCCAAAAAAAAAAAAAAAAAAAAAAGCCGTGAAGCCAGACTTTCCTACCCCATTCCTACGTATTACTCTTATCTCAGCAGCCTAATCTGTCATGACATCTGAAATCACCTTGTTGTTTTTTTTTACAGGTTTAGAAGTGTAGGCTAAGTCTCTGCCTGAGGCACCAGCAGGGACTGGTTCCTGTCCCTGCTGCTCCTCTTCTGATCCAGCTCCTTGCTAATGTGCCTGGGAAAGCAACGGAGGATAGCCCAAGTCCTTCAGCTCTTGCACCTGCCTGGGAGACCCAGAAGAAGCTCCTGGCTCCTGGCTTTGGATCAGTGCAGCTCTGGCCATTGTGGCCATTTGGGAAATGAACCAGCAGATGGAAGACTCTCTGCCTCTCCCTCCGTCTGTAACTTTCTCAAATAAACAAAGAAATCTTAAAAAAAAAAAAAAAAGTGCCATGGGAGCCAAGTCTGTCTCTCTTTGAAAGGCAGAGAGATAGAGAAAGACAGAGACAGAGATCTTCTATCAGCTGATTCATTCTTCAAATGCCCTCAACAGCCAGGCCAAAGCCAGGAGCCTAGAACTCAACCCACGTCTCCCACAGGGACGGCAGGGATTCCAGTGCTTGGGCCGTCACCTGCTATGGCTGAGGGTGTACGTTAGGAGGATGCTGGAAGTCAAAGCAGAGGAGGGACTCCAACTCAGCCACCCCATATGGGGGGCGGGTGTCCCGAGGGCTCTTACCTGCTGCACCAAACAAATGCCTGCTCGAGGAGCCAGTTTTTTGACAGCTTCTTTCTCTACTTCATCTTCAATACCCACAACAGTGCTCTGTGCATAACAGGATTGAATAAATACTTAAGAATGAACACAGTCAGGGGCTGGCGCTGTGGCATAGTGGGTTAAGCTGCTGCCTGCAGCCCCAGCATCCCCTGTGGGCTCCAGTTCGAGTCCCGGCTGCTCCACTTCTGATCCGGTTCTCTGCTAATGTGCATGGGAAAGCAGTGGGAGATGGCCCAAGTGTTTTGAGTTCCTGCACCCGCGCAAGGGAGACCTGGAAGAAGCTTCTGGCTTTGGCCTGCCCTGGCCTGGCCCAGTCCTGGCTATTGCAGCCATTTGGGAAGTGAACCAGTGGATGGCAGATCGGTCTCTCTCTGTAACTCTGTCTTTTAGTAAATTATATATATTATATATTATATCTTGCATGTGAATACCTAGGCCTTTCCCTTTCTCCCAGCTCTGGGGAAGAGGCAAAATTTGAATAGCTGTAATCCTGATATCCAAATTATGCCTCGGGTTCTGCAGACAGAGAGAGAGAGAGAGAGAAGGGGGGGCGGGTTTCTTGCAGTCAGGGAGCACGAGGTTGGAATCCCCTGCTGACCAGCAAATCACTTTACTTTTCTCGGGTTTGTTTTTCTCATTTGTCAAATGGAGATGATACTACTGGTTCCCCACAGGGCTGCTGCAGAGACAACATGGACTGTAGGCAGTTACTGAGTGCCAGTTCTCTTCTGCATTTCTGAGATGTGGCCCGATCACAAAATGGGAGCACCAGATGCCTGCTTCTGCAAGAGAAGTGGGGAATGCAGACTTCCGTGGGGATATCTCCATTTCCAGACGCTGGCAATTAGAGTTCGTAACAGAGACTCCTGCTGTCTTGAAGCCGATTTTTAAAAGTAAACATATTCTGGAGGCAAAAATAATACATACTTCCGCGGACTGGCCCTGGCCCTGGGCTACCCAATTTCCCATCGAGGCTGCCCCGTTGTCAGGGTGCCTACCGCACCCTCCATGCATAATGTAGGCAGATCCGTGGGCCTCCCCGACCCAGAATGAACTCATCTGTACAAGGGGCCAGCCCCCCGTGGTGCAGCCCAGAGACCCAAGCGCAAAGTGGGCGCCCCTGCGCACTGGGCGGCAGCTCGGGACGCTTGTGTTCAAGGAGCGAAATAGCCCAGAGGCGGGAGCCCGGCGAGAAAGGAGAGAAGACGGCCGAGAAAAAAAAAGGGGGGAGGGGAGAGGTGCGGAGGCCACCGCGGCCGCCTGCAGGCGCCAGCCAGAGGCCCAGGCCGGGGCGGGAGTGCGCGGCACGTGGCCTAGTCCGGGCGGAGCAGACGGCTGAGGCGGCCCCGGGAGCCGAGCCGCCAGGGTAAGTTAGACTCCGGCTGCGAGGACCTAGGACGCCGCGCCGGGGGCGGCCCCAGGTTCCGGGGAACCGGGAGGGAACGGCGCAGGGCGGCGGATCCGGGCTCGCCGCCCTCGCTCGGAGGTCTGGGCCGGACGCCTGGGTCCCTCCGCGCTCCTCCCCCAGGGGGCGGGGCCTTTGCTGTCGGGCCAATGAGCGGCCGCCGCTGGGGCCCCGCCTCCGCCCCGTCCCCCGAGCCGCGGCCTCGCAGAGTGCCCCACAGCCGGGCGCCCAGGCCTGGGGCAGCGCGAGCGCCGAGCCCTCGGCTGGTGAGTGCGCGCTCCTCCCCGGGGTCCCCGCCCCATCCCGCCTCCGAGCCCGTGCCCTGGAGCTCCCGGGCGCCGACCGGGGCTCCAGGGAGTGACTCAGCGCGGGGTGGGTGGCGACTGTGGGGCCGGAGATTCGAACTGTTGAGGGGCCTTGAATGCCGGGACGAGTGGGGTGAACGGGTGGCGCCGAGCTAGGGTGGATGGGACCGGGGTAGGGTTGGGGGGACATCAGGGCTGCTTGGCTTTCCCTGGGCCAGGGCCATGGTAGTGGTGGTGGTGGGGTGGGGGGTGGGGGGTGGTCCTGAGTTTCTGACCCAGCTTTCTCCCTCAGGATACCAAGATGCCAGGGGAACAGCAGGCAGAGGAGGAGGAGGAGGAGGAGATGCAGGAGGAGATGGTGCTGCTGGTGAAGGGTGAGGAGGAGGAGGGTGAGGAGAAGTATGAAGTGGTCAAGCTCAAGATCCCTGTGGACAACAAGGAGGTAGGTGCCTGCCGAGCCCCGGGGGCGTAGCGTCAGTCGGAAGCCAGGGCATCTTGCCCCTGCTGCATCCCCCTGGCCGCAGACCTGGAATTTTGGCGTCGTTTCTTCTTTCTGCCCACTGTCCAGCTCCCATCATGCATATGCCATGTCCGCTGTGTGCGCCAGGCGCCGTGCTGGGTGCTGGAGAGGAAACTACTCTCGGAGCCCCAAGAAGCTTCATGTGTAGTGGGGTTAGACCGATGGCGGCAGGGCACAGGGTGTGTGCGTGTGGAGGGGGTGGGGTGGCCAGGCCCAGCGTGGGAACAGAATTTGGACTTAGCGGGGAGAGGGAACAGCTTCAGTAACCCCAGCTGACTCTTCGCACGGCATTTTCTGTGTCCCGGATGCTCTCGTAAACACCTGGAGTCTGTGATGCAGGTGGAATGGGCTCCACTTCGTAGGGATTTGGGAGGTGGAGAGAGGCGCTGGGCGCAATGACCTGAGCTATTCCTGCTGTCTTCCGGGGTCTGCCTTGGCAGGATGCCCTGGCTTCAGGAGCGGCAGCTGAGGTCGAACCCAGGCCCTCCGATGTGGGCTGGAAGCATCTTAGCCACGAGGCTAAATGTCCGCTCCCTTGCTGCACTGGGCAGTGTGGAAACCAGCTCAGGACACTTTGGCCGCACGTCTCCAAGTTAGTAAAGGCAGTGGTGAGACCAGCGGGGGTCTGAGTGGGGTTCCTGTCCCAGGTGGAGGGATGGCCCTCTGGGAGGCACAGAGGAGGGGGTCTGGGCCGGTCCTGCAGTAGCATGGAGGACGAGAGTGGGTGGATGGGTGGGCAGGCCGCAGAGGAAGCCTGGGGAAGGTTTGGGTTCGAGTTCCCCACACGGGACCCGCCACCAGGTATCTTTCCGCCTCCCGGGATCCCACAGGACTCCGCTGCTCTAGGCCTCGGCAGCCCCAGGTGCGGCTGGAGGTCTCTTGCCCAGCCAGTTTCAGTGCCCGCTTGGAAGGGGAAGAAAGTGCTGCTGCCCCCTAGTGGGTGTGGTGCGACCCACAGGGGCAGAGGGCAGAGGGCAGCCGGGCTCCGCGGGCCCCCTCTTCCAGGGTCACTCCCACCTCTGCTTTTCCCCCACCTCCTGGCTCGGCCGGCCTCCTCCTCCTCCTCCTCTCCGGCCCTGGGAATCCTCCTGTGAGTTAAACTCAGAGGCTCCTGAGCCCAGGGTGGACTTGCGGCTCCCTCGCGTGTCTTAACCTTTTCACGCCTCACTTTCCTCGTCTGTAGAAGGGAAGCCGTAGCAGCACTTCCTTCTTGGAGCTGTGAAGATCTAACGAGTTAATCCATATAAGAGTCACAACCAGGGCTGGCATTGTGACACATGATGGTTAAGCCACCCATTTGAGATGCTCGCATTCCATACCGGAGTGCTGGTTCCAGCCCCAGCCGTGCCTCCTCTGATCCAGCTCCCTGCCAATGCAGATAATAACCCAAGTACTCGGGTTCCTGCCACTCATGTGGAAGACCCGGATCGAGTTCCTGGCCTAGTCCTGGCTGTTCCAGGCATGTGGGGAGTGAACCAGCAGATGGAAGATCAGTCTCATTCCCCCCCCCCCCCATCACTCTGCTTTCAAATAAATAAATCAATAAATCTTGGAGCTAGAATAATTAGAACCATGTCTGGTACAGAATAAACATGTCAGTATTGGCTGCTATTTCTTCTTCTCCTGGAAGTTCAGGGCCATGGGCCAGGTCATCTTCCTGAAGATTTTTCATCAAAGGCTTTCTGGGCCGAGTGCTGAGGACAAGGGGTGAACAGGAAAACCACCCCGGAGGCCTGGAGAGAGACAGCTCCCGGCTGCAGAGAGGGTTTCCCAGAAGGCATTGTTGCCTTGGGGCCAGGAAGGCTTAGTTAGGGGTTGACAAATGGAGGAGGGGGAGGAGGGAGAGGAAGAGGAGAAGGAGGAGGAAGGCATTCCGGAAGGAGGAAACTTGCTAAGTTCAGAGAAGGAGATGGGACCAGAAAGGTTCATGGGGCCAAAGAAGGAAGCGCCTGGGGTAGGAATCTGTTTGGGGTTGTGTGTGATGCCATCAGAAGCCTTAAGTCAGCGGAGGGGTGGGCTTGGGTTTTCTATTTGCAAGAATGATTGGCTGCTTTGGGCTAGGGAGGGCTGGTAGTCTGCTCCGAGGTGGTAGCGACAGTGATGGCGAGAAGGGGCTGTTTTTTTGGCAACCATGACTGGACCAGATGGAGCTGGGCGGGCAGCCGGGGAAGACTGGTGTGACACAGTGCCTGACTGTAGCAAACCCTAGCTCCACCATTTATCTCATGTGCCTCGGTTTTCTCGTCTGTAAAATGGATTGATGATCCGACACCCTTGGATGCCGGTCTAAGGAGTGTCCCCTGGGTGCTGGGGGTTGGAGGAGGAGGGTGGAACCGAGAGCTAAGATCATCGCAGGATCGGGTAGCCCTGTGTCCACAGCGAGTTCATTTGCTTCATGTCTCTGTAAACCGTGATCCCAAAAGTGCCTCCCTGTGCTGATAGCCTGTGGCCCTTAGCTGCCACCCATCCGTCCTGTGGGTGGAATTAGGCTCCGTATATTCTCTCTGCCCATCCAAACCTAATTTCTAACACCTGATTAGGAAAAGAAAAGGTTATCTCATAGGGCTCAGTGCCCATCCGCACCTGCCTCTCTCCTGGGCTGCAACCCCTCGGGATCGACTATTAGCTCTTAACCCTGGGCGTGCGGAGAGCTCTTGGGCTCTGAGCTCCTGTCCTTGTGGCTTCATCTCGGACTCCTGACCCTAACTCTGACCCCACGCCCCAGCTCCAGACAGCCCCACCCCTTCCCACCTGCAGGGCCCACCTCCCCCTTCCCCCCTGCTTCTCCAGGGGTTTTGCTCTTCTCCCTTCTAGATCAGGTTTCTGCATGCACACCAGCTGAGGGTCTTGTTAAAATGAGGATCTTGACCAGGCACTGGGGTGGGGGGTGTGGGACCTGACATCTGCCTCCAGCCAGTTGCCAGCGCTGCTGTAGATGGTACTCTCTGTAGCAAGACACTGCACTGGAGGGTAGGGTCTTGTTTTACACCTTGTACCTGCCCCCTCGAAGGGTCCAGGGGCAGGAGACAGCTGTGTAGGGGGGGCTCCAGACTCAAGTCTGTGAGATTGGAATTGTATCACAGCCAAGAGGCTGGGTGTTCCTAGTTTAAGCTCCGGTTTGGCCATTTTTAGCTGTAGGGCTTGGGTCATCATTTAACTTCTACATCTTATCTATAAAAGGTCGGGCAGAGGTACCTAACCCAAAGAATTGTGAGCATTAAAACAAGAACATGGATAAAAAGAACGTAGCACAACTACTCAATAACCAGTAGAGGTTTTTTTTTGTTTTGTTTTGTTTTTTTTTTGTTCCATTTTTTATTTGAAAGGCAGAGAGAGAGAGAGAGAGAGAACTTTCATCCACTGGTTCATTCCCCAAATGCCCACAACATCCAGGGCTGCACCAGGCTGCAGCCAGGAGCTCAGAACTCCATCTGGGTTTCACATGTGGTGGCAGGAAACCAAGAGCTCAAGCCATCATCTGCTGCTTCCCGGGGTGCGCATTAGCAGGAAGCCGCTTCAGAAGTGCCAGGACTCAAACCCGCACTCCGGTACGGGATGCCCCCAGCAGCAGCCTAACCATTGTGCCAGAACACCTGCCCTGCAGTTGTCATTATTAATTAGAAAAGTAACGGCTGAGGAGGCAGCCGAGATGTTTGCCCTTGTTAAAAAATATTTAATCGGGATGACAAAAATCCCTAACGTCCAACACCTGCTTATGTTATCCCACTACATTGTATCTCTATAGAGCCCCGTTGTTACAGTGCAAATACCATTCTTTTCCATCTAACAGTTGTAAAATTTTAGACCTACGAGGGCCCTCTTGTCTGGTATTTGCTAAGTTTCAATCACCTGCGTTACTCAGATGTTGTTCTCACCTTATTTACTTACTCGTGGTCTTGTTTAAATAGATGGACATTGTTTTATTAAATAAATTTGCCTGTCTTTAACCAATGATATTGATGAGCTTGTGGGTTTCATGTAACTTCTTACTTTCCTTACATACCTGAGAACAGATACATAATGAGAAGGTAAAAGCCTGCGCACAGCCACCCAGAACCCTCTGGTGTCTGCTGGTGTCGCGCCGGGGAATTCTGATGCCCCCTAGCCTGACTCAGGACCGCCACTGAGGCAGAGAGAGGGAGGGACTCACTCCAGTCTTCATGAGCTGGGTCCAGCATGTTCCACCGCCCCCCCAAGATTTAATTAATTTATTTGAAAGAGCAACAGAAAAGGAAAAACAGAGAGAGAGAGAGAGAGGTCTTCCATCCACTGGTTCATTCCCCAAATGGCCACAATGGCCAGAGCCCAGCCAGGCCAAAGCCAGGAGCCTGGACCTCCATCCGGGGACTGAAACCAGCAATCCAACACGCATCCCAGGCAGCGGCTTAACTGGTGACACCGTAGTGCGGGCCCCTGGACTCAGCCTCTTGCTAAGATTCTTCTCAGCCATCCAAGAGCCCTCCTTCCCGGGGGGCAACCCCAGGGCTGCTTGAGTAAAGAATTCTTGTCCCTAAATCAGCGGACCCAGCACGATGCAGTCTGAGGTTGGCCATGGTCACCTTAGAGAAGGGTGCGTGGGAAAAAAAAGACCAGAAAGATGTACATAAACCGAGAAACGTTCTCTCCCAGGACGGCTGGCCGGTGTGCCCAAGTCAGCCCAGCAGAAGGCAAAAGCCGGGAGATTGCAGCCTGTGCAACCTTGCATTCAGCCTGTGCCAAGCCCGCTGAGGCTGTGGGGGAGCGTCTCCATTTAAAGTAGCGAGTTGTAGCATCCCTCTGAGGCGTGGCCTGGGGGTGTGCGCTCAGCCAAGGCTGCAGCCTCCCTGCTGACAGCAGTGGTCTCCCTGCCCCCCATCAGCGGGAGATGGCGTTCCAAGACCACCCGAAGCCACGATGGTCCTGGCTCCTATAAGTGTACACATTGGGTTTCTTCTATCCATATCTCTGATAAAGTTTAATTTCTAAGTGAGGCGGATTAACAGTAACTAATACAGTAGAATGATATCCTTTAATAAAATTCATCTCAAACCTAAGATTTCTGTATTTCTGGAATCTTCCACTCCCTCTGTTCGGCCCACGGTATTGCAGGTCGCCGAAACTAGGAAGGCAAAGCTGCAGATGAGGGGTCACCGCCGTCACGGTGGCCGTCCTTTGCGCCGTCTACACCAGGGCGCCTCTGGCTGCTTGCTGACTTCCCACATTGCCCTGTTTTCCAGTTTCTGAGTTGGTTCCCACAACTGCTTTCAAAACAGTAATTTATATTGAGAGACAGAGGGCGGGCGAGCTCCCGTCTGCTGGTTCGTTCCATAGATACGCACAACAGTAGGAGCTGGGAGCCAGGAACTTGACCCAGGCTGTCTCCCGTGGGTGGCAGGAACCCAATGAGCTGAGCCATCACCATTGCTTTCCAGGGCTTGGCACTGGCTGGAAGCTGGAGGCGGACAGAGTGTGGAACCCAGGCAGGCCGGAATGGGACTAAGCCCCAAACTGCTGCTGGCTGGGGGCAAAAGGCCTTGGAGCCTTGCTACTGGCTGCTTCCTGGCCGCCCCTGCCCCCTCTCTTAGCCTGCTTTCCTCCTCTGTGAAATGGAAATGGTGGTAACTTTTATGCAGATTGAACGTGGGCGGTGCTAACCCTATCCTGTCCTTACTAAGTGCCAGGCCCGTCATTTGATCAACTAGGTTCTTCTTCTTCTTCTTTTTTTTTTTTTTTTTTTTTTTTGACAGGCAGAGTTAGACAGTGAGAGAGAGAGACAGAGAGAAAGGTCTTCCTTTTTCCGTTGGTTCACCCCGCAAGTGGCCGCTATGGCCAGCGTGCTGCACCGATCCGAAGCCAGGAGCCAGGTGCTTCTTCCTGGTCTCCATGCGGGTGCAGGACCCAAGCACTTGGGCCATCCTCCACTGCCCTCCCGGGCCACAGCAGAGAGCTGGACTGGAACAGGAGCAACCGGGACAGAATCCGGCGCCCCAACCGGGACTAGAACCCGGGATGCTGGCGCCGCAGGCGGAGGATTAGCCTAGTGAGCTGCGGTGCTGGCCACCAACTAGGTTCTTTTAAGATTTATTTTTGGGGGCCGGCGCTGTGGCTCACTTGGTTAATCCTCCGCCTGTGGCACCAGCATCCCATATGGGCGCTGGGTTCTAGTTCCAGTTGCTCCTCTTCCAGCCCAGCTCTCTGCTGTGGCCCTGGAAGGCAGTGGAGGATGGCCCAAGTGCTTGGGCCCTGCACCTGCATGGGAGACCAGGAGGAAGCACCTGGCTCCTGGCTTCGGATCAGCGCAGTGCGCCGGCTGCAGCGGCTATTGGAGGGTGAACCAACAGAAGGAAGACCTCTCTCTCTCTCACTGTCTATAACTCTACCTGTCAAATTAAAAAGAAAAAGGAAAAAAAATTTATTTTTGTTTATTTGAAAGGAAGAGTGACAGAGACGGAGGGAGGTAGGGAGAAAGAGAGACATCTTCCATCTGTTGATTCACTCCCTACATGGCCTCAGTGGCCGGGGACAGGGGCAGACTGAAGCCAGGAGTCAGGAACTCCATCTGGGCCCCCCATGTGGATGGCAGGGGCCCAAGGGCTTGGGCCATCTTCCGCTGTTTTCCCATTGCATTAGCAGGGAGCTGGACTGGGAAACAGGGCAGCCAGGACTTGAATCTGTGCTTGGATTTGGGATGCTGGGGTCACAGGCAGCAGCCTAACGTGCTGTGCCCTGACACTGGCCTGTGAACCACATCCTTAATTGCTTGGCCCCCATCACCATCGGTCCTGCAGGGTGACTGGCTGTTTTCTAAGGAAGCAATGCACCCCCATAAGTGTTTTAAGTACCAAATGTTTCCCTTCACCTGCTGCTTTTAAACCATTGATTTCCTTTGTCTGATTTTATCTCTACAAGCCCAGACCTCATGAAACTGGCTCACTTTCAAAAACAAATTTTTTTTTTTCATTTCAGGCCTCAGAATAGCATTGGGTTTTTGCCCTTTTTCTTCATAGCTTAAAAAATGACAGGTGCTTACTTTTTTTTTTCTTTTTAAAGACGTATTTATTATTTGAAAGGCACAGTTACAGAAAGGCAGAGAGAGGTCTTCCATCTGCCTGTTCACTCTGAAAATGCCCGCAATGGCTGGAGCTGGGCGGATCTGAACCCAGGAGCCCACGTGGGTGCAGGAGCCCAAGGACTTGGGCCATCTTCTACTGCTTTCCCAGGCCACGGCAGAGAGCTGGATCGGAAGTGGAGTAGCCAGGACTTGAACCGGCGCCCAAATGGGATGCCAGCGCTGCCGGCGATGGCTTTACCTGCTATGCCACAACGCGGGCCCCAGGTTCTTGCTCTTAAAAGCTGATCAGAGAGAGAGAGAGCTGGATCTGCCCTGCCCTGGCCTCTCGGGTCTGTCCTCCCTCACTGCCAGCTCCTGCTCCGCCTCTTGTCCCCGCCAGCTCTACCCATTCCCCGGGTGCTGGGTGGTGTCCAAGCTCTGAAAACCGCCCAGAGGTTAACAGCTTCTCACCACACCTCTCCAGCCTAAGCCTCAACCCGAGCTCCGGGGCGTTGTCCAGGGCTGTAGGGCCAACCAGGCCCGAAACTGATGTCACCTCCGACTTGCCCCTCCCACCGTCCTCCTCTTGGCCACCGGCAACACTGCCTTTACGGCTGCTAAGCTCAGAACCCTTGGATCCCTCTGCCGCCTCTCTCTTCACCTCTCCCAGCTAGTCTGTGCGTGTCACCGCCCCCACGTTCCAGGCGCCGGCTCTGCGCTCCTCAGGGGGCTGGAGCAGCCTCCCTGGGCACCGGTGCCGCCCGCTCTCGCTCTCCGCTTTCCCTGCCTTAATCCCAGCAGTTGACTGAAGCCTTTTAAAACGTCTAATCTGCTCACCTGCCGGCTCACACCCCTCCTCCCCCCGCCATCCCCCAGTGGTTCATCTTCCCATTTATATTCAAAGGCAAAGTCCTCTTTGTGGGCTACAAGGCCTTAAAGTGAGCCAGCCACACACCCACACACACACGCGCGCGCACGCACGCAATCTGCTGTCCTCGCTTTTTCCTGCCATTTCTGGAACTCCACGGGCTGCCTGTCATGTTCTTCCGGGGAATATCCACGCAGCCTGCCCTCTCACCTCCCTTAGATCTTTGCTTATGTGACCACACCAGCAAGCTGTCCTGAAACCGCGTCCAGTCTTCAGCATCCCCCCCCCAACTCGCCTTATCCATTCTTCCTGAAAGCAGGAACTTCTCTTTTCCTGCAACCCAGCACATCGCACACTCCCAGTAGCTGATGAATTAATAAAAATAGCTGTGCACGAAACGTGTTCTCGCTCGGTGGGCACACCCGCCCCCAGACCCCCGCCGCTTTTCCTGTTCACAGACTGGGAACTGAGGCTCAGCGGCTGCCGGCTCCGGGGCCTCTCGGTCAGGGCTGACCTGTCGCCCTCCCCTCTCCCCGCAGGTCCCGAGCGAGGCGCCAGCGCCACCGGCCGACCCGGCGCGCCCCCACGCGTGCCCGGACTGCGGCCGCGCCTTTGCGCGCCGCTCCACGCTGGCCAAGCACGCACGCACGCACACGGGCGAGCGGCCGTTCGCGTGCACCGAGTGCGGCCGGCGCTTCTCGCAGAAGTCGGCGCTGACCAAACACGGCCGCACGCACACGGGCGAGCGGCCCTACGAGTGCCCCGAGTGCGACAAGCGCTTCTCGGCCGCCTCGAACCTCCGGCAGCACCGGCGGCGCCACACGGGCGAGAAGCCGTACGCGTGCGCGCACTGCGGCCGCCGCTTCGCGCAGAGCTCCAACTACGCCCAGCACCTGCGCGTGCACACGGGCGAGAAGCCGTACGCGTGCCCGGACTGCGGGCGCGCCTTCGGCGGCAGCTCGTGCCTGGCGCGCCACCGACGCACGCACACGGGCGAGCGGCCGTACGCCTGCGCCGACTGCGGCACGCGCTTCGCGCAGAGCTCGGCGCTGGCCAAGCACCGGCTCGTGCACACGGGCGAGAAGCCGCACCGCTGCTCCGTCTGCGGCCGCCGCTTCGGCCACCGCTCCAACCTGGCGGAGCACGCGCGCACGCACACGGGCGAGCGGCCCTACCCGTGCGCGGAGTGCGGCCGCCGCTTCCGTCTCAGCTCGCACTTCATCCGCCACCGCCGCGCGCACATGCGGCGCCGCCTCTACATCTGCGCCGGCTGTGGCCGGGACTTCAAGCTACCGGCCGGCGCCACAGCAGCCACTGCCACCGAGCGCTGCCCCGAGTGCGAGGGCAGCTGAGCCGCCGGGCCCGGGGAGGCGCACGCTGGGACCTGCCCTGGGTGCACTAACCTTGGTGCTCGGGTCTGGGGAGAGGCGGGACGGCGGGCCTGGCTGCCCTGGGACCGGAGACAGGGCGGCTCCCCTGCCGGGGTCCCTGGAAACCGTGCCCGGTCCCCCTCGCGACATTCCTTCGGCCCGTGTTAGTGAATAAAGTGTTCTGCACCCCACCCGTGCCTGTGAGTGAGGTGCGCGAGGGAGAGGAGGAAGGCTGGGGTAGCCTTTGAACCCAGGGGACAACTGAACTGTGCGGGGGCCTGAAGTCGCCAATCTGAGGGTCCCACGAGCACAGCGCATCCGAGCAAGGTGTGGCCGGGTGCAGCCCCGTGGAGTGGAGCAGCAGCCTCCTAGCCCTATGGCAAAGGTTTAAAACGCGGGACATCCCGATGCAGACTCAGCCGGGGAGGGGCGGGGCGACTGCAGTGGTGTTGCCCGGAGCTGTTGGATGGGAGGGGTCTCCAAATGCCGCCTTTGCAGCAGAGATGATGTGGAAGGAGGCCTCACCCACCCTGGGGCGGGACGTGCCAACACAGATGGGCTCTGAGGATGAACCTGACATCGTGGGCATTAGAGGGAGGCGGGCCTGACTTGGTGTCTCGGCTTGGTTGGCCGCGGGTCACTGCCACGGAGAGGAAGGTATGGGATGAGACGCTGGACGGAAGCGTTACGTGAGGCCGTGGTTCTGTCCCGAGCTGGACATGCTGAGTGTGAGCTTGGTGTGCAGGGATCCAGGAGGCGATGGCTTAAGAGATGGCATCAGGGTGGGAGCCTGACCGAAGCACCAGAGGGAGGAAGCAGGGAGTGAGCCACGGGATGTCTGAGCATGGGGGATGCGGGAAGAGGGGTGGGGTTGGTGTGAACGCCAGCCCGGGGTGGATGAAGGAGTAAGTGTGGACGTCACCTCCAGGAGGCCCCGGCCCTTGCGGGAGGGCACAGCTGGTGGCTGAGGGTCTGCTGGTTTTGTCAAGGGAAGACTCGGGCAGTGCCCCACGCGTGGGGGAGGCAGGCCGCTGGGATCTCGCCGATGTCAGGTCCCGCACATCACACACAAGGCTAGCTCTAGGTGCGGAGGAACACCTAGAAATGGGCGGGCCTCACTTTTCCCAGGGAGAGGCGGCCCTGCTCTGACTCGCAGGGCCCCTGACAAGTCTCCAGTTGAAAGTATCTGCCAACGTCGCAGGGCCCTCCTCCGGGCCTGGCGCCCCATCTTAGACACACCAGTAGCTCACCACCTTACACCCCCATCGGGCGGGCACTGGGATTTCATCTTATGGCTGAAGACCCCCACGGCACAAAGATGACATCACTGGTGACCGCCACCTGGCCCGTAAGGACCCCAGATGGCCTGGCTCCAGGACCTGGGCTCTTAACCCCCAGGGCTCACGTCTCCTTCTCAGGCCCGGCGGGGCTGCCTGGGCCCAGGATCCCTGCGTAACCACCGGGGAATGGGGTTCAGGGGCGCCTCTGCGCACGGTCCTCCCCGCCAGCCAGCAAGAACCTGGAACTCGTGACCCAGAACTTTTATTGGGGCAGAAGACACCAGGAAGCCATCTCCCGGCTGCTCCTGGGAGGCAGACTTCCGGAAGCGGGGCCCTCGACCCCGGATCTGTTAGGACAGGACCAGGAGTGCCAGGGCCGGGCCGCCCGCTGCTCTTCGGATGCCAGGCTGAGCTGCCAGTCCCGAGGCCGCGTTCCTAGGTGGGGCCCTGGCCCGGGGACTCACAGGCAAGCGGTGCAGCCCCTGTGGCCTGGTCTTCCGAGCCGGCCCCTCGGCCAAAGTCCGTGTACTTCCGGGCGGAGCCGCGGGCCAGGTGCACTGGGTAGCGTCGCCGGTTGGTGTCCATTTTGGAGAGCACCGCTTGGGGCAGGTCCACGCGGCAGCGGGCTGCCAGCGCCACGAGGTAGATGAGGACGTCGCTGAGCTCCTCCTGCAGGGCGGCCCGCTCCCGGGCGGGCCAGGCTTGGGGGCCCGGCTCCTCGTCCGGCTTCCACTGGCTGGGGCGGCAGAACACACACATGTGCACAAACACACATACACACATGCCAGCTAGGACAAGGGCTCGGCCTCCCTCAGGAGCACCCCAGTCCTTGCAGCAAAGAACTCCCACACTCCTCCCCCTCCCCCAAATTCCTCCAAGGACAACGCAGCCCTCTGGGTCCTGGGAAATACTGGGTGGGAAAGAGACCCCAAGGGCAGTGCCCAGGCCTCTGTCCCTACTGAGCCCGCAAAGTGGCCCGAGAGGACATCTTCCTGCTGATGAAGCTTTGAGGCCCAGCTCCACTCCCCCCCCACCCATGCCGCTGCTCCCCTGGCCCAAACCTCACACCCGGACCACTCCCTCGTCGCCTGCCTCACCTCCTTGCTGACATCACCTCCTCTTAACCACAGCCCTTTTTCCAAAAGTGCACGGATCACGCTTTGTCCCTTCCTTGCTACAGCCACCCCTTGTCCCAGCCGGGCTTGGGAGAAATGGGCCAGGCCCTCCACGAGCCAACCGCAGCTTCTCCCAACGTCACCACTCACCACTGTCTCTCATGCTTCTGCCTTGCACACAGGCCAGCTGGCCCAGGGCCTTTGCACGACTTTTCCCTCTACCTCGAATGCTTGCCCCTCTACTCCCCCATCCATCCCTAGATCTTGCCCCATCTTTCTTGTCACTCGGGTCTCGGCTATCAGCACCTTAGAAGTCTTCTCTTGGGGCCGGCGCTGTGGCGTAGCAGGTAAAGCACCACCTACAGTGCCGGCATCCCACAGAGTCGCCGGTTTGAGGCCGGCTGCTCCTCTTCCAATCCAGCTCTCTGCTTATGTCCTGGGAAAACAGTGGAAGGTGGCCCAAGTGCTTGGGCCCCTGCACCCGCATGGGAGACCTGGAAGAAGCTCCTGGCTCCTGGCTTCAGATCAGCTCAGCTCCAGCCATTGCAGCCATCTGGGGAGTGAACCAGCAGATGGAAGACCTCTCTCTCTCTCTGCCTCTCAAATAAATAAATCTTAAAAAAAAAAACACAAACAAACAAACAAACAAAAAAAACCCCTTTTCTCTCATCACCTTGTGTTATTTTCCTCATGGAACCCGTCACATTCCAGGTCTTTTAAGAATCACTTCGCTTCGTGTTGTCAGTCTCCCACCACTACCATGCCTGCTTTGTCTGAGGCCGTCCCTCTTCATCCCAGAAGCCCCAGCACAGATCTGGAAGAGGGGGCCACTGGCCTCCCCCACCCCCGCAGGGACTGCCCTGGCCTGGACCTGGTCTACACTGGCGTTCTCTCGGTATGCACTTCACTCGCTAGACCCGCCCCCGTCCTCCACAGCCCTATCACTCATCCAGTAGTTATCTATCACCAGGAACAAAACAGACACAGAATCCCTGAGCTTTCTCATAATCAAAATAACAGATTCTCCCGGATTGAAGGCGCCCCTTTCCTGCCCAGGGAAACGTAGTCCGTGCCCCGCTCCCCGAACCCCGTCTCCCGTGCCACAGGCGGGTCTTCCACGGAACATCTTCCCCGCAGCCCGAGCAGCAGAGGTCAAGGCTACGGTCACCGCTCCCAGGGCAGCGCGCAGGGGCGGCTGTCACCTCCACACAGCAGCACCAGGCACACAACCCGGCAGCGAGGAGGGAAACATCAGGACCCATGGGTGTCTGATGACCCCACGAATGCCGCCTCCCTCCCCTCCCACCCCCCAAACACAGCCTCTTCCGGAAGCCCCTACTCACAAGAGCTCCGCCAGCTCCCCTACCTCCCCCACCAAGGCCAGGAGGAGGTTCCGAGGCTGGTGGAACTGGTCCCAGTCTCGCTCCGCAGCAAATTCAGCATGGAGGCGCCGACTGGAACAGGACCGGAGAGTCAGGGGGTCGGGGAGGGGAACCAGACACAGCCCCGCCCAGGTCTCCCAAGGGGGCCTGGGACCACCGCCCTGAGCAAACGATGCCCTCTTCATGGGAATGGGCGCGCCGCTGCGCAGGCCTGAGCCCCTCTAGCAAGCCCCCTTGCGTTACCGCATCCCCTGTCGCTGTGTCCACGGCCTCCCCCGCACGCACGGCCGAACCCCAGGCTCCCCCAGGAGGCAGCGCCACCGCCACGTCCCCCGTGTCACCCACGGGGCCAAACCCCGTGCCCCGGCCTCGGCTGTGCTCCGCCGCGCCCGCTCCGCGGGCCTCGCCCGGGGTCAGCCGGGGTCCCGGGCGCCGCCGCCGTTTTCCCGCCCACGTGGAGGGACCCGCCCCCATCTGCGGGAGAAAGGGCTCGACCTCCACGCTCCCAGGCGGGCGAGGGTTGCTCACATGTCCTCGAGCGTGGGCTCCGGGCTGAAGCTGAACGGGCCGGCAGCGGCAGTGCCCTCTCCCCCCGTGTCCCCACCAGCACCGGACATGCCGCCGACCCCACCGCAACCGTGACTGGGTCGAAGAACCCCGCGCCACGCTCGGAATCCGCCTCCAGGTTCCCTATCCAATCATGGACGTCCTCGGTTGCTTTCCGGGGCGGAGCCGGAAGAAAAACCAATGACATACGTGGAATTTGTTACAGCCCGCCCCTTACCCGGACCAGACCAATCGGAGGGAGCCTCAAGCGTTTTTGCCTCTACGCTTATCGCGAATTCTTCCGCCTAGGCCAAATGTCTTAAAGGGATAGGTACCAATTTGACCCGGGGTAGAGGCAGAGGGTAAAGGGTGGAGAGAGCGCAGGCGCGTCACTTCCATTTTGAGCCACTAGGTGGCGGCAAAGCGAAATGGCAGGCAGGCAGGAAGGGAGGCGGAGGGCCCGCTGGGTGGAAACACTAAGAATGAAGTTTATTCCTGGATATTCAATCTCTGAGGGCTTAGAGACATTGACAACTCACTAGGCAAGCTCGGCCAGTGTTTGGATAAGATGGGAGGGAATGAGCGGAGCAAGCTCGGGAAGGACTAGAACCCAAGCCTCGCAACCCAGGGCAGCTTCCTACCCCAGCTGCAACCTGTGCTTGAAAGGCGGGTGCCGATCTCCTGGGGGCAGGTTTTAGAGGGACATCTGTGCACTCTTGGTCTCAACTAGGGTTGTGAGAAAGGGTGGAACGGAACAGGACCCACTGGTTTGGGTGGTTTGCAGCTTGGTGGATGGATTGTGACTCCTTTGGAGTTGGGGACGATGAGGTTCAGGATTAAACGGGTGTGGCCTCGGGAGCTTGGTTTA